CTGTGTTAGTTGAAGTAATGTTAGCCAGGAGAGATGGGCCAAAGCCAACCCCTAATTTAATCAGTAAAGCAACCAGGATCCTCAGAGAATCAGTGAAACTTTTGTTTACATATGCCTGTATCTGACACGGAGAAAGGCACATACAGCTAAAGAGTGGCTCTTCCTCCCTTAGCCAATCCCTGGAGAGAACAGAATCAAGGATTAGTAAGGAGTCTGAGAGGAGTGCAGAGATTCCACAATTCTTACCCAGGTATAGAGCCACAAAAGCTTGGATATAAGGAACTTTACTCTATTTGCCACCTTGCCCCTGCAGAATAATTATAGGTGGAGAAGTGTTGTAATTCAGGGACTCATTTTCCAGCCAGTGTTCTTGATCTTCTAATTCAGACAGAAGCTGTACTGTTTCATGAAAGAAGATCAGCTTTCTTGTTTTCTGGAGTTTTTTCTTTAAACATGCTCCAATTAGCTAAATACATCCTAGAGGTGAGTCCTTTAGAATACTCTCTGTGACTCCCATGGTCGGTAGGACCTTTATAAGTGAGAGCAGTTGAGTGCCAAAAACCTTGGACTTTCTACCCTTCTGGGGACTACCTGGGATAAGAAAGTCAGAGCCATCAAATACCAAAAGCAAAAACTCTCCTTTCATATTATATGCCCTTGATACCTCTAAGAAAGATAGATGCTCCTGCCAGAATCACAAGAAAGACAATAACAGACTGGACCACAATAGTTGGCACACCAAATAAACCTCAGGACCAATATTTTCCCAGAAAAGTACACAATCCAAAAGTGTGTCAGTCACAAATCACCTTCACAAACACAATAGCAATACTGAGCAGAAAGTAGCATACATCAAATCCAAGGCAATCTGAGGGATTCAGACTCCCCAAAAAATCTGTTTCCAACAGAAAAAGAACCAATGCTTCACTGAGCCAACAAACAAAGCCAACAACCTGAACTACATGTACCAAACCAAGTCACAGCTAGACTGGTTGGACCAAGGGCCAAAGAGGTGCAACCAGTCTGGCATTTGATTAATTCCACCAAAGCACCTTACTGCGGTTGCCTACCTGTGGATTCTACCTGTTCACTTGTGGATATCCCTCCCAGCAGATATCCTGACACACGAACAGGGTTGATTGCCTCAACCTGCCCCAGTGTGGGTAAATAGTATGCACCTAAAGCCAGACTATTTTCAAACTACACCCAATTTCAGAAAAATGTAATTTCAAGTGCTAAAGGGAATCTCTAAGTACTTAGATACAAGGGTATTCAATTCCTTAGAAGGCACAATTCCAAATTAATAATTTAGAATGCAGTTATAAAGCTTCATTATAGTTATAAAACTAGTTAATCCCAATTGAGCATCTGAGGGGAGAGCCCTTTAAAATATCGGGAATTCTTAACCAGGAAATGAAAAATGAATGATATCTCATGGACAAGGGAAAAGGAAGCAGAGACAAGAGACAGAAGCTGGCTACAGGGCAGAAGACAGAGGCAACAGGGAGGGTGGGTCAGTACTGATCAGATGGGGAGGTCCATGTAGTCAGGGACAGCCAGGGTGGGACCTCATGGCTGACAATGAAGCACAGGTTCAGGCAGCCACTTGTCCCTAAGGTGTTGTCTGACCTCTTCCCAGGGACCCTCAGAAAGGAGGAGTCCCTACATGTTCATCAGATGTTGCCAGTAAGTTAAAGATTCCTCTGCTTGATTCATCTAAAATCAGGAATCAGCAAAGTACAGCTTGGCTAGTGGCCCTGGGCTTTGAGTGCCAACATCTCTTGGCCTTCAGAGTTATACCTCTAAGCCTTGATGCCATCTGTCGACACCAGTTAACACCAGACACCATCAAACAACACCGCCAGTTGCCCGTCTCTGCTGCTTCTGGCCTCTGCCAGTTGGGGCTGGCTCATGCCAGATGCTGCTGGTCAACCCTGCCAGTTTCTATCGCTGTGCTTCATTGGCTGCTGCTCCCTGGAACTCTCCAGGACTAATTGCCCCAAATGTTTATAGCTCTTTTTCCGAGCAACTGCTCTATCCACACCAGTCAGCATAGAATCCTGAGTAGATTTACAGGAACTTCAGAGCTTACTCTACTCAAGAAACAAATAAATCAGGAGCAGGTTTACAGGATTACCTGAGTGAGGATTTATTTGGGCAGAGCCTGTGCTGCAGCAAAGAAGGGTCATTATGCCAGCAGGAGCCTTCCTGGACCAACCTGAGGGGTGAAAGAGAAGAGCCGCTTACATAGCTACAGTGAGTCCAGATAAGTGTAAACTCAAGTCTTCTGATTCAAACCTCCTGTTTGGTACACATTTCCCTCTACTGCTTGGTTCAATTTCAAGCATGTTATAGCCAGGGCAGACATCTTATGGATCAGAGCAGGTGACTAGGGCAGTCACAGCTGTTGCAGATCAGTCTGATCAAATGTTGGGAGACAGGGCTGTTTGATTGACAGCTGCTATATTCCCTTGAAAATGGTAAGGCCTCCATGGGAGCTAGCTTATTAGGCCTTGGAGACATCAAGGATGTTAATAATGTGCCTAGATCCCCTGTCTTTGCTGCATTAGAGACAGTTACCCTGCCACTTCTTTAGAAGCAGCAGGCATCGAGGGAGCATTAAGAGTGGGGGAAGCACCACTGTTGTTAACCAAGCCCCACCTGCAGTCCAAGCAGCTGGGGAGCTGCCACAAGGTAACCCTAAGTGAGGCAGGAAGACACCAAGGCAAGCTCTTCCAGTACTTCCTCAGGAGTCCATGGCGGGCAGGAGCAAAGGGAAGTGAGGGGCATGGCAGTTATCAGCCAAACACACCCCCTCTGGCTGGCACAGGAAAAAGGGGCAGAATCAGGCTTTTTTATGTCTCACTTGGACAGGCCCATGAGGTCAGAATGGCCAGGAAGAAATATGTAGAGAGAATAACACCTAGTGGACCCCGTGGAGTGTGCCCTTTAAATATGCCTCATAGTATCGGTGGGATTTTAGTTCCTTGCTCTTCAGTATGAACCCACAAAAGTTGGAAGAAGGAAACTTCCACAACAGGGTAATGAAACCAAGAAACTCAGAGTAACTAAAGAAAATCGGTTTCAGCCCCAGGCATTAACCTTAATTTTTAGAGGCATTATGTTTGGTTTCCATGAGACATGGGAGGTTCTCTTACAGAAAAATCAGTCCAGATCTGGAGGAGCCCTGGTGTTGATAGCAATGGGAGCCCATTTCCGTCCCATTTGTCCCTTTGGCCAAAGGGAGGTCCTTTCAGGGGGATTGTCTGGGTTCTCTCCTGTGGTAAAAGGTGGCAGAAAGAGGGGAAGACAGTTCAGCCTGGAGGGGCTGGGTGGGGTCTCTTGAGGGGACACTAAGCCCCACAGAGGTCTGAGTTTTTCATGTCCCTCTGGGGGCCACTGAGAAGCTCCCAGGACCACTGTGGTGAGGCTAGTGTCTCAGAACTATGCACAGCAAGGAGATGTCTACTCAGACCCAGGGTCAGGGCAGCTTTGATAGAGGGAAAGAAATTCCCTGGGGTCCTATTCCCACTGAGAAGATGGAGATGTGTCCAGGTGAAATATAGGGTCCCTTCCAGAGACAGTGTGGCCTTCTTAAGGATAGCCAATCAGAAAAGAGCCCAGTTCTCACGAAAACTTGCACCCCTCACCCTGGAAAGATTCAGGCTTGAGACTGTGACTACACACAAACAAACACACGTTTGTATACACAGGAAGAGACACTCCACACACACAGTCACATATGATGCACATGTGCTGCAACACTGGCAAGGACAAACCCATGCACATACACTGTATCTTGAGTCACCAATGTGCCAAGAACACTCTCTCCTACCCCACTCCTTTCTTTGGAGAGGGCATGACCAGGCCTTGAGTCAGGCAGCCGTGGCTCTGGTGTGTGGAGGCTCACCGGAGAGCGTGGACGTCACAACCAGGTAGAAGTCATCAAATGCTTTGTGCCAGGAGGTATCAACCCCACACTAGTAGAAGCCTGCATCTCTAGGGGAGGCTCTCCAAGGTCACTGTGAAGCTGAGGTGGGCAGGATGGCCCCTGATGGACCCTCGGCCTCTCTTTACTGCCCTCTCTGAGACTTTAGTCTCCACCACCTTGGGAGATTGTTCAAGTAGTCCAAGCAGGGTTTTTTTGCTCCAGTACTTGTCATACAGCTTGAATACCTCCTCATACCAACACTGTGCACTCAGAGATCCCTCCATGTTGCCAGTCACAGCACTGGGGACACCAAGAGAGAGACAGCCTGGAAAACACATGCCCCAGTTCTGGGCCCTCACAGATGGGCAAGGTGACAGATGGGGTCAGGTCCTCAGGGCCCTTGGATCTTGAGGAGGCAGCACAGGAAGACAGGCCTTGCCAGACCCAGGGTGGTGGGTGGGTCTTCCTATGTGAGAATGTGTACTTGTGTATGTGTTGGACCGTGACATCATCTAGAGTATAGGGTTATGCTAACGACTATCATGGGTGCCTCTCTCTCTTTGTGTTAACGCTATCCAGAGCCATAGCCAACTTTGCACTGCAACCTAGAGGCCCCTGTAGAACAGGTACTGGCTGCTTCTAGCCAGTCCTCTTCCTCCTGCCCTCTGTTCTCACTCCACCTAACTCTATCAGCTACTCCTTCCCTGCCTTGTTTCACAGTCCTGTCATCTCCCATTCAGGACAGTGTTTCCCCTGTCCCAGGCTGGTCCTGGCCATCTGGGACCTGCAGAAGGAGCAGTGCTGAAGGCAGCCATGCAGTCTTGTCACTTGGGATCATTTCTCTAGTACAGATATCACCTACACCAGCACCAGGTCCAGGAGGAAACAAAATATAGAATAATGCCCATGTTCCCATTTCTGCCTCTCTGCCCCTTTGTGCCTCCTGGGCCACTGAATCTTTTTTTTTTTTTTTTTAAAAACAAAATTCACATTTTATTTAGATTGAAATAAACTGTACAAAATTTTCTTCACCAAAAATAACAGCAATTATTTTCTGTATTATTTCTAGATAAACCACAAAACATTCATTTTGTAGGTTTTCAGTTTTGCTTATAAATCAAGATGAGGCAATAGATAAGAGTCATGGAAAAAGACAAGAAAACAGACGAGTCAGTTCCCTGAGTGGATGGCCTCTGATTCTGCCTTGATGATGAAGCGGAAGTGTTCAACATTTACCTGCTAAGAAGCTTATGACGATGTACGTTCCACAAAGGAATGTAAACAGCAATAACCAGATGTGGAATAACAATGCCAAGCTCTTCCATTCCAGCTTTAACTGTAACCTCTTTTTTAAGTTCATTTAATAAAGGCAAAATCTACATTGAAATCTGGTAGGCTCATAAACTTCTCTTTAGTAATTCCCTTAACTGCCCATTAGATTTTTAATAACACACTTAAAACTCCTACTAATCACAGGCCAATGATGGCCTTCACCGTAACATTTTATGAGATGCATTTTCTCCCACACCACCTCAAAATTCATTTCTTCAAAAACTGACAACTCAATACTTGAAAGCGGATCCACAATGACAGTGTGTTGTCTAAAATGACTTCACTAAAACAATTCCATAATGCCACCAGCAGAGGTCACGCCAAAGTGAAGTGTGGCACTTACAATGCCATTTTCTGCCATTTTTTTAAAAATTTGGTACCGGGGATCTAACTCGAGACCTTGTGCTTGCGAGGCAGGCAGCGGAACCATGGAGAAGAACAGACAGGTCTCAGGTGCACGAGGATTCAGAGGGGCCATTTAAATATGGAGATTATCAATGGCTAATATATTCAATGACAGGCCTGTGGGCTAACATATTCAGTGATTAGGGGCTTACATATCCCTTATAGCTTTTCTTTCAAATAGCAAATATAAGAAAAAGCCCACTGTAAAAGTCTCTTAGGTATTTTCAACAGTTTCTGAATTATCTGTAGGGAGCTCTGATTTAGTTGTATATAGTTTGATATATGTGTCCACCATTAAATCCAAATAATGTTTTGTATCAAAATTTATGTTAAGCAAAGCCGAGTTACTTGACCTTTGGTCTGTCAAAGTGTTCCTTAAGTATGCTTTGAGACGCTTTCATCCATTTTCATAGCACACATTCTCAACTTTCATCACAGGAAGAATACACAGGACCTTCAGCAAGGCATACACATTAGGAAAAAACTTAATGTCAGGCAGATGGAGGGCTTCATAAATGGTAGATGGAAGCTCTATGTCTTTCCTTCTGTGTTTCCATTTGATTCTCCAACAATGAAGTTCAGCTGAGAGTGTATCAGGATTGGGTAAGTCCCTTCTGTACATGTCAGCATGATGTTCCTCTGATGTGTTGAATTTGAGCTGTCCCATGACTGAGGGTACCAGAGATAAGCATTTAAGAGCTTTGAGATGCTGTTCTGAGAATATATCTTTAAGTTCCTGAATAATGTGTTCCACTGTTGGGACATTCAGGGTTTCTTTATAGTAACTCTCAGAGGTTAACTGAGATTCCAGGTTACCTTGTTGAGCCTTATGAAATTTACCAGGGAGTTTCATTTGAATATCAAGTTTGGTTGCCAAATTTGTGGCTCCCTCAAACCAAAACTCATGATAAACTTCAATATTTTCCGTCAGTTCATTGAATGAGTGTAATACAGCAGTCAAACTTCTGGCTGCAAAGAAAACATCAGAAGTTTGTCCCTGGGCCACCAAATCTTGTATGATGTTTGAGCTGGGCAGGGTGCAGGAAGTCCATGGAGAGAACTTTCCTGGGGTGGTAGGGCCCCTCCCCACCAGGTGTCAGGGCCATTGGCTCCTCTCCTTCCCAGTGACTGGGAATGTACATGGCCCGTGGACTGGGGATCTGTCCCCTTTCCACAGCTGGCTGATGCTGGACTCATAGTCTTACACACATACCTGCACAGCAGAGCCTAGTTGGCACATGTCCTCAGTGGTGGGACCTCCTCCCTCTAAGATATATCCTGGAACTATCCTGGAAATGAGGGCCCCAGCTCTCCATTTTCTCTGTCTCTAATAGTGATCACAGAGTGACCGTGTTCTACCAACCTCAGTTTAGGCTCCAACAGAATGTCCTGACTCCTGATGTCCGCACCTCTTCCTCTGGCTTCACATAACTCAGCAAGTTACCACTGTGGATGCTGACACCTTCCGCAGTGTCCCAGCCTGGTTCTGAGTCCTCAGTCAGAGTACATGTCCCAGATGTAGGTGTGGAGGAGCTGCCATAGCACCTTGAGACCCTCACGATCCTGTCTTGTCCTCTTGTCAAACTCCACTCCCCAGTGAGAGTTGGGACAGAGAACTGAGTGAACAGAGTTCAGAAGTGTGAAGGGCAGAAACAGGAAGGTGGGGACATAGTATTGTTGTCCTTTTTGCTGTATTTCCTGGAAGGTTGATGAGGGTGGGTCAAGGCCCGGGAGCTACTCACTTTCCGTCCAGAATTGATCATGACTTGTCAAGCTCGTCTTTGCTTACAAATTACACTCTGGAAGGGTCTGACAATAGCCACCTCTACCTCTGCCCCAGTCACCGCTTCCTTTTGTTTTACTCCATATACTCTTCATCTCTTGTATGTTTCCTCCTTTTCGTGCACATGTATTTTTGTATTGGTTCACTGTTTCTTTCTGACTGTAAATTCAATAAAAACAGAGCCCTTTCCTGTTTATTCACTGCTGAACTTCCATGTTTGATCATTGTCTGATCCATGGTACACACTCAGCAAATATTTGCTAAATAGAAACACGGGGTAATATCCCTAGACCCATGTTTATAGCAGTACAATTCATAATAGCTAAATCTTGGAAAAATCGTATTTGTCTATCAACAGATGAATGGATAGGAAAAATGTGCTATTTATGGAATAATACTTTATTATAGAGAAGGATAAGTGCGAGTCATTTGTAAGATGAGGAATATACCTTGAGACCATAATGTTAAGTGAAGTAAACCAAGGAAAATATGCAGTTCAGACACACAACCTAGATATCACATGGCTTCTCTTATATGAGAAACCCAAAATATAAATAAAGAGTGAAAGAAAAGATAGATAAAAGGAAATAGAGAGTGAGAGGTCTTTTGCAAAGGAAAGGGATAGACTTTTGCAAGAGATGGAGGGAGTGGGGAAGGAGGGGGGATGAAAAACAAATTAAGATGCCTTATGAGCATATACCAACTCCCCATGAGGAATGTAATCATTATTGATGTACTGCAAATGTGTACTAATAAAAATTAAACTTAAAAAAATAAATTTAAAAAGATGCCCAGTCCTGGGCCTCCTTCAGACTTCTTTGGAGAAGGATGGTAGATTAGTTCTACCATCTACATCTTCTACAGTGTCCCATCTTTGTGCTGGTGCAGGTGACATCTGTGCTGGCTGAGTGATGTGGATCATGTGTTTCACATGTTGGTCTTTGGTGTTGGCAAATTCATCATGGTGTCCCTGGACCAGTGGGTAATAGACAAACATTTCTTTTATCCACACAACAGACAGGTCTATGCTAGTGAACAAAGACTCAATCACCTAATAAAATATTGTCACATCTCATCAATCAACTTCTTCCATCATAAGCTGGTCCAAGAACCCATAGTTCTGGATGAAGATGTCAGGTCACCTTGAGGAAGGAGTAAAGAAGGAACTTTCTATGATAACACTGATCTTCTACTATCTTTCTCCAAAGAAGCCTGAAGACATTTTTCAGGGTGATTCTGAATGAGAAAGGGAATGATCAGATGTCAAGACAATTCTGGAAAGTGTCCTGGGTAGACATCAAGCATAGGGGTCCAATATGGCACTTTGGTCCATGAATCTGAGATCAGTGAACATTACAGTTTGATTCAGGTATGAGAGAGAGCTCAGTGAATCACTGAAGTTCTACATTGTTATTTCATGAACTAACAATTGCATAATCAAGTAGACTAATACAGTAACTAGGAGAGTCATACACTGGCTCCCTTTTCAACCAGTGTGGATGTTCATGGGTGTGATGGTCACAGAAAGGTAAAACAACTGCCCTTATCTGTGAAAACAGTGAAACAAAAGCAAAGCCACATGCCAGGTAGGACTGAAGACTTCAAGGGTCTCAGAGGTATCTGGCAGTGGCTTAAAGTTAAGCTGGCAGGTATATGTGCAAAGCTGATATGCAGTCTTACTTCAAGGAGGAAACAGTGATTAGAAACCCTTTTGATATATGAGGGTGGTGAGCAAGGAAAGATTTTAAAGAAGATTGCAAAGATTATTCTAATATATATGTGGAGAGTGACAGAGGGTTCACTGGTCAGAAGGTCATCCTCATCCATCAGAGGGGTTGTGTCTCTAGACAGGCCCCTGAGGGACAAGGAACGTCATTGGTTTTCATACTCAGGATGACTTCACCTCCATCCAGAGCCTCTCTGAGGCCTGTTCACCCAGAGGATAGCACTGAGCATGCTCAGGAGCAGGGGCACCTTCAGGAAGACCAGGAGCAGGAAGTGAATGCTACTGAACAGGGGCCTGTGGGGGACATAATACAATAAGCCTCTTCACTGGAGGAGGCCCTGGTGCCTGGAATCTTGCCTCTGTCCTTTATACCCTGGTCCTGTATCCACAGCAAACTGTATACTCCACACCTGGGCAAGGCAGCTTTACCTGAAGGACCCATGTTCCTGACAGACAGATGAGGGAGTGGCTTTGAACTAGGGCCTGTGGTCATAGAAAGGGCGGGACCATGAGAAGGAGGTAAGGGGAGCCCAGGGATATAGGAGGGAACTGTGTCCAGAAGGATTTTTACCTTGTTCCTTCACATTCAGGGATTACTAGTTAGAGTACAGGAGTCAAAAATGAGACTATTAGTTTCATGTTTGGTCCTCTCTGGACAACATTTCCAGAGGGGTGGGTCTTGTCTCATCACAGACAATAACTGGTGCCCACCATGGACCTTCACAGTGTCAGCTTGAAGAATTCATGGTTATTAGTGAAATGATTGAAGGACTCAGCTCAAGTCTGCCTGCTTAGGGGACTGAATTTGTCAAAACAAGCTGACACTTGTGACCAGTGATGGGGGAAGAGGGAGGCAGAGGAAAGAGCACCTGCACTTCTCAGCCTGGCCAGGTCCTGGTGGCTTCTGAACACAACATTTGTACTTGCTCCCCCGCCCCTCTGCCTGGACCACTCACTCCAGACCCCTGAGTGCCTGGTCCTTCCAACCTTGCAGCCTTCACTTGTGTGGCTTCTAATAACCAAGACCTTCCCTGATGGTCCCTTGATGATGTAAAAGATAGCGTCCCCACCACCCTCCACATATATTCCCAACCCGAGTGGACAACTGTTTCTTGACACTTTAACTGGATTCCTGCATTGATATAGAAACTTCTGTGCTGAATTGTTCACTGTGTGAATCCACTGGGTAAAGCACGAACTTCATCCAAGCAGGAGTGTGTCTGAGAGGGCCCTGCTGTGTTCCAGTCTTGAAAGAAGACCTGACACTTGGCAGGACCCACTCTATCATGTGTGATCGGTAGGTTCAGGAGGGACCCAGAGGAGGGAGACACAGTCCCTCTACCTCCCTTCTCCCAGCACAGGCACACCGTCCAGATGCAGGTCCTTACCGAGGCTGTGGACTGGGATTGGAGGTGTCCCCTCTGGTGGTGCTGCGCCAAGTATACACAGACAGGAACAGAGGAGGCCCCGTGGTGCTTCTGATACCCTCAAGGAAGGAGCCTGTGGCTGTGGCTAAGGCTGAGAGTGAAGCACAGGTCAAGTCCAGTGACATCCCCGGGGTCTCCCCCTCATTGGCACCTCTGTGGCATCTGGGCCTGTTGGACACATGTCCTTAGTGAACAGATCTCATGGACACACCTAGTCCTGACCAGGGCTGTTACTGTCATTCCATCGAAAGTGCACTGTGGGGCCGAGGATTTAGCTCAGTGGTTTTGCTGCCTGCTGTGCAAGCTCAAGGACCCGAGTTCGATCCCCGGTACCAAAAAAAAAAAAAAAAAAAAAAGTGCACTGTGGCCAGGTGACACTTGCAGATATGAGAAATGGCTTGCTAAGCAGGAGGATTTGAGCATTGGTGTAGATACTTGGTACCAGGTCTAAATCAACCCCAGAGAAACTTCAGTACCCTCCTTCATCCTTCCTGGGGACACATGTAGCGAGTCCACTCACTCTGCTCAGTCCGCTAAAGACCCAACGTCCCTCACTCTGTCCTAGTCTACTGAGCAGAAATTGATGCAGAGAAATGGGAAAAGTAGATTCCTGGGGCAGGGCTGATGGCTGAGTGAAGCCTCACGTGAACAGGGACGGTAGGGTTATCCATGATGAATGATTGGACCTGTGTGCCCTACACAGCCGTCCAGGCCCATGGCCCTAAATAATCTACTGGACAGTCCTCTCTGAGGGAGGAATAAACAGGAAAAAAGGTCTAGGGAGATAGACATCGGGCAGACCCCATGGGGAGTGGCCTGACCCAAGGCCAGATGGATAGTATATTCCTCTCAGACACCCAGCAATATCAGTGGGACTTTAATTTCTTGTGCTTCAGTAGGAACCCACAAAGGGCTGGGGAAGGAAATATGTACTTGGGGGAACTGAAACCAGGAAGAGAGAACTCAGATGAAGGAACTAGAGACAACTTCAGAATTTCAGCCCTGGGCACTCTGCCCAGCCCTTACATAGGGGTGTTGAGTTTGGATCCCATGAAACAAGGAAGCTTCTGTTAAGAATGAATGATCTGTAGATGTGGAGGAGCACTGGGGTTCATACCAGTGAGAGCCTTAAAAAGGTGCCCAGAACAGGGAGACAGATCAACCTGGTGGGGCTGGGCATGGTCTCACAAAGAAAGCGGAAGCCACACACAGGGGTCTTAGCTTCTTCTTGTGTCCCTCTGGTGACCACTTAGAAGCCCTGAGGACCCAAAGAGTCAGGCTGATGTCTCAGAACCTTCCAGATCAGAGAAGTGTCCCCTCAGGCCCAGGTCAGGACAGCTTTGATAGCAGAGAGCACATTCCTTAAGGGTCTCATTCCTGTCGGGTGATAGAGTCAGGTCCAGGTGAGGGGTGAGGTCCCTTTCACAAAGGATAAGACCCTAGACAGACCAACCAGTCAGCAAAGAGGCTTGATCTCAGGGATGGCCCCACCCCATACCTGACAAGGACTCAGGCCTGAGGCTGTCAGGGTAGGGCCCATAGAGGGTCTCAAACAGCACGAGTGTTCCCGTGGGGCTGTGTGTATGTGTACACACATATAAATCTGTACACATGCACTGAAGACAGACAGATCGACAGGCAGTCACCACTGACAGACACACACATTCTGGATGCCGAGTCACTGCTTCACCAGCTCCTTCTCTCCTACCCCAGTATTATTTCAGGTAGGAAATGACCAGGGCTAGGTTTAGGCAGCTCTGGCTCCAATGGGAAGGGGCTCACCTGGGAGCACAGACACCATAAACTTGACGGCAGGATCTTCTTGCCATGGTGCATCAACCCCACACCAGTAGGAGCCTGTATCCTGCAGGGAGAGGCTCTCCAAGGTCACCGTGAAGCTGAGGTTGGCGGGATGGTCCCTGATGGTCACTCGGCCGCTCCTCACTTCTCTCACTGAGTCTTTGGTCTCCACGATCTTGTCACATAGCACCGCAAGTGATCCTCTGCACCAGTACTTGTCACGTGCCTTGTCTTCCTCCTCATACTGGCACTGCACACTCAGGGATCCCCCCACAGTGCCTGTCACGGTGCTGGGGCTGCTCAGGAGAAAACAGCCTGGAAAACACAAGCCCCGGTTTTGGACTTCAGAAATGCGTGGGGTCAGGGTCTCCTTGGAGTTAGGTCCTTGAGGCCCTCAGATCTAGAGGAGACGGCCAGGGAGACCAGCTGCGCCAGAGCCAGGAGTCAGACCTGAGGGGTGAGGAGCGCCCTTCTCCAGATGTGGGAACAGGGAGAGGGGAGTTCATGGGGATGCATGGTCAGGTAGGAAAACACTGTGTGTTCATGTGTGTGAGACTATGTGTATGTCTCTGTGTACACTGTGTGTGTACACTGATGTGTGGGTGCAACTAATTGAGTGTGTGCTTCTGTGAGTCCTGGACCAAGACATCATTAGAATGTATGATTTCAGGAGTGTCTGTCGTATCTATGTCTCAGGGAGGACTGGCTGTCTGGGTGCAGGGCATTGAGCTCCTCCACACTGTGCACTGCAGCCTGGCGGCCTGGTGGCCTTGTAAGGCAGGTGCTAGCCACTTCCGGCCACTCCTCTGCCCTCCTCCCACCCTTCTCCTCGATGCACTTTCCTCTGTCAGGCATACCTTCCCCACCTCCTTCCCCAACCCTGCCCTCTCCTGCTCAAGATGGAGTTTCCCTGTCCAGGGTTGGGCTCACTCACTTGGGACCTGCAGGAGGAGCAGAGCTGAAGGCAACCACAAGGCCATGTCTCTTGGGGAATGTGTCCCCTCTTCTCCTCTTCTCTCTGCTTCCTGGTCCACCCTTTCCGGATGTGATGCAGGGGATGTGTAGGACCAAGTAACTCAGGGAGAGAAGCTGCCTGCACTAATGCTCATGCCCCTGAACCTCGATGACATTGGCTTCTCTTACTCTCAGTGACTGAGCACATTCAGAGCCCATGTGTTGAAAATGCCACCCCCTTTCCACAGCCCGCAGCTGGTGACCACACACACACACACACGCACGCACGCACGCACGCACGCCTGCTCGCACAGCAGGGCTCATGTAAAGTATTTCCCCTTTGCTGAGGCCTTTCCACTCTCTTTGATGAATCATTTTGTTGTCAGAATGGACTCACCTAGATGTGGGAACCAGAGCTGTTCATTTCTCTACCTCTTGTGGGGACCACAGAGGGACCATGCTCTGCCAGCATTCAGCTTAGAACCCAAATGGGCTACCACATTCTTTTGCTTTCTCACAACATGTCCAATAGCAGTGTGAGCCCTAACACTTTCTACAGCATCCCACTCTTGTGTGGAGTCAGATCACCCAGGCAGCAGCTTATTCCGCTATGCCTCTTACCCTGGATCTAAGAGTGGAACAGCCATCACCCATGTTGGATGGAGGTTGGGAGAATAGAAGGAAGAATGAATCTCTCAGATTTCAAACCTTCCGAGGACTTTGGTAGCTAATACTAATTGTTCATTTCCCATTGACATTGTGGGAAAAGGCAATGAGATATTTCTGGACCCCAAAGATCCACCTGACCCAGAGAGGCATCTAGAATTCCTCTCAACTGGATTAATGTTTGACAACTGCCGTAGAGGGACATTGGCACTTTCTGTTCCCTGAGCTTAGGGCTTTCCTCTAGGTGTCCACATTCCTTGTCTATCCATTCATTTCTAATCTCAAGTTAAATATAGCCTAATGACCCCTCATGTTGCCATATTTTAGCCCATGAAATTCTCCACCTCTGACATTTATGCTTCTTCATGATGTTGCATGTGTTTTTGTCAATTATTTCTGTCTGCACAACAGAGTGTGTGATCAATGAGAGGACAGGTCTCAGTGTTTTTTGTTCACTGCCAACTCCCATGCCATGATCAGTCTTTGGTAAAGAGTGATGCTTAATGAGTGGGTGCTACTAGGATAAATGGGTGAGGAGATCCAGGGTTGGGACACCTGGACCTGGAGGAATCTTTAGGATAGTGAAACTCAGTCATTTTTGGTGTTGGTAAGTTCAGCTTGGTGTTCTTGGAACTGAAACTGATGGGTATCCCATTAAAATCTCCTCTTGCACTTCAACTAGAGTGTCATGGTCTCTCAATTAAGTTTTAAACTAGTGTTCAGGCAAGCCTGGCACTGGTACAAGGGTCACTCACCTGGGAGTAGGGACACCACCTGAAAAGTCATCAAATGTTTTGTGCCATGATATATGGATCCCACACTGGTAGGGGCCTATGTTCTGCAAGGTGAGGCTCTCCAAGGTCACCATGGATATGAGGTTGGTGGGATGGCTCTGATGGACACTCAGTCACCCCCCACTTCTTAGCAGAGCACCGAGAGTGCGTTTATTCCCTTGACATATGCCCTGTCTTCCTCCTCATACTGACATTGTACACTCAAGGATCCCCCCACAGTGCCCATCCCAGTGGTGGGGCTGCTGAGAGGAAAACATCCCAGAAAACACAAGCCCCTGGTCTGGGCTTTCACAACTGGATGGGGTCAGAGGCTCCCAGGGGTCAGGTCTTCAAGGCCTTCAGGTCTGGAGGAGGCAGTGGAGAAAGACTGGCCTTGTCAGACCCATGAGTGGGAAGTGAGGATGAGGATCACCCTCCCCCAAAGGTGGGAACACAGACGGGGGTGTCCCTGAGATGGGAAGGGGCAAGTGGGAAAATACTGTGGGTACACATGTGTGTTTGTATGATCATGTGTATGTGCATACGTGTGAACGTCACTGTGTGTAACTGTGTGTGTGGGTGTCTAGGTGAGAACATGTGCTTGTGTGTATGGAACCAAGACATCACTCGGATTGTGTGATTATGGCAGTGACTCACAGGCATCCCTCTCACTGAGCACTGACTTCTGTCCAGGGTGCAGGTGCCTCAGTTCCCCTGCACTGCACAGCAGCCTGGCAGCCAATCTTGGCCACTCCTCTGCCCTCCTGCCCACTCTCCTTCCCCCACTCACCTCTATCAGCTGCTCCTTCCCCACTTCCTGTCCCACCCCTGTCCTCTTCCACTCAGGACAGAGATTCTCCCGTCCAGGGCCAGCACTGCTCACCTGGAATCTGCAAGAGGAGCAGAGCTGAAGGCAGCCACACAGCCACGTGCCTTAGAGTCATTTTTCCAAGACAGAAGTCATTTGCACCTAAACCAGGGCCAGGAGGGGACCAAATAGATGTACCTCACAGAGAATCCAATGTCCACATCCCTGATTCTGTTTTCCTGCCCCTCCCTGGTTCCTGGTACAACTGTCTTGGGTGTTTCCTGGTCCATCTGCTCAGTTGGCCAGGAGGCAATATGCCCACAGAGAGAAGCCACCCAGGCTGGAGCAGAAGATCTGGTCGTCAGTAGCATTGGCTCCTGTCACACTCGGTGGCTGGGCACATCCAGTGCCTGTGTGTTAGGGATCTGTCTCCTTCTGGTAGCTCCCAGACTCCCTCACACATACACCAAACAGCAGATCATGGCTGGAACATTTCCTCCTTGGTGGGACCTCTCCATCGTTGAAGGTACCTCACTTCCCATTTTCAGGGTGGACAATCCTGGGGTGGGGCCAGAGCTCTCTGTTTTCTCTAGCTCTAATGGTGCCATAGAGGGACTCTATCCTCCTGTCTTTCAGATTAGGCCCTTACAGAAGTCCTCTGACCCCCTCTGGTCCCCAGCTCTTCCTTTGGCTTTGCACAGCAAGTCAAGTGGGTACTGTGATCCCTGATACTTTCCGGAGTACAGTGACAGCGGCTCCATGAATAGGATACTCTGACTGGGAAGTAAGCACAGGTCAAGCTTTAAAATAGACCATGAAGGGAGGCAGGAAGTTCCCGGGGTATGTGGATGCATACGTCTTCTTAGTCAGATGCTCTCATTCCCGTAACACTGTAAGACTTAGCATCACATAGTCTTGGAAGGTGGATGGAGCAGGTCGAGGCCCAGGAGCTACTCACTTTTTTTCACCAATTAATCACATCTTGTCAAGCTTGCAATTTGTTTGCATATTACCCTGTTGGAAGGATCTGATAGTAGTCACCTCCACCCTGCACCACACACCACCTCTTCATTTGCTCTGTACACTCTTCATCTCTTTTAGGTTTCCTCCTATATGTGCACATGTATTTTGGCATTTGTTAACTGTTTCTTTCTGCCTGTTGGAATGTGAGCTCAATGAGAGCACAGCTCTATTCTGTTTATTCACTGCTAAACTATAATGCCAGATCATTGTCTGATGGAGCACTGGGGTCCATCACAGCGAGAGTCCATCTCTGGCCCACTTGTCCCTCTGCTCGAGCGGAGATCTTTTCAGGGGATTCTCTGGGTTTCCATCTGTGTCCAAAATGTGCCAGAGAAAAGGCAGAGACAGTTCAGCTAGAAGGCACTAAATGGGGTCCCCTGAGGGGACATGAAGCCCCATACAGGAGCCTGGGCCACATTATTTTTGCCTCTGTGGTAGCCACTGAGATGCCCTGAGGCCACAGCAGTGAAGCTGGTGTCTCAGAACCTTCCATAGCAGAAAGCTGTCCACTTAGACAAAGATCAGAGCAGAGCCATAGAGGACAGAAATTGCCCTAAGTCTCCTGATCCCATGGGGAGGATGCAGATAGATCCAGGTGAGACATGAAATCCCCTTTAGAGAAAACACAGGCATCATGAAGAGTCTGTGAGCAAAGAGCCTTGGACTCAGGACAGTCCTGTGCACACCTGCAAAGATTCAGAGATTGTCAAGGACAGGTGTACAGAGGGTCTGGAGGAACACAGGCCCTGCCCTATGCCTGTATGCACGTACGTACACAGTCGTGTGTTGTTATATGCACACACATGCACACGCTCACAGACAGACATAACCCACACAGGTGCTCTAACACTGGTAAGGGCAACCCAGACACTGTGTCCTGAGTCACTGACTCACCAAGCCCATGCTCTCTTTCCCCACTTCTTTCTTTAGGGAGGGAATGACCAGCCTAGATTTTCCCAGATGTGGAGCTGGCATGAGGGGCATTTGTCTGGCAGCATGAAAGGGAAGATCCTGGCTCTACAGTATATTGACCCAACACCAGTAGGCATCTGCATCTTTCAGGGTGAGGTTCTCCAAGGTCACTGTGAAGCTGAGATTGGCAGAATGGTCTCTGGTGGATACGCAGCCACTCCTCATGCCTCATTTGAATCTTGGGACTCCACAATGCTGACACATTGCTCGTGTAGCACACATGATTTTTGGCACCAGTATCCAGACTATAAGATTTGGGAAGGCAACAGATAGGACTCAATCCAGTTGATGGTTCTTTTGCTTGATTCAGATAGAATTCATGAACCAGCAAAGTGTAGCTCTAGATGCCTTCAGTTGACTCTGCCAGTTGCTGGCTGCCATAGGTTGAATAATTTTCCTCTGACAAGCCCTTCTGCCATGTTGTTGCTGCCTTGAAGCCAAAAAGCTATGGACTGTATTCTCTGAAAGCCTTGAGCCAAAATAAATCTCCCCTCTTTTAAATTGCAGGCATTGAATATTTTGTCCCAGTGACAAGAAAGTGACTAATACAAAAACTGGTACAGAGCTATGTTTATATCTGACCATGTGATTTAGAAGCCTTTGGAACTGGTCTGAGGGAGTTTTGAAAAAAGCTTTTCCCCACAAATGGGAATACTGCTCTATCTCATTTATTGGGTGACTTAAGATGCTGTCTGTTTTGAGTGAGGCCTAGAACAAAATAGTACTTTCCAGCAGATCTGGGTTGAGGTAAAAATGGTCCTGCCACTTGGGTCATCTGAGCTGGTTGATTTCATGGTACTAGAAGACTCTGTGAAAGATAAGGATGCCATGTGGCACCTCTGGTAAACCCCAGTAGGACAACACAATTCTGTTGCAGACCAACACAACTCTGTGGGTTTGGGACCAGGGCATGCCATCTGACCCAGAGAACTACTCACTGTGTAGCAAGGAGCCCCTTAGCATGATACAATGCCCAAGTAAAGGTAAAATGCCTGGCCAACATTACAGTCTGTTGACTGTGGTTACCTACCTCATTATGGATGGTTGAATTCACATAGGCATTAATGCTATCTGCAGCTCCCTTGGCTGTCATACCTATACCCTTGTAAGGAGTCCCCTACAATCTGCTGGCATAAGAGCAAAGCCAATACACTTCTCAAATTGATGAGCTTTAAACAATACAATTTCCCTTGTTCAATATTTTGAAACAACCACACCCTGCTCAGAATGTGCAAGAAAAGTAAGGAAACGATTACCATTAAAAATCTAGTTATTAGTTAATTCTGAAAGTAGGAGAAGGACAGATATGAAGTTAGAGACAGGGATATCATGGCTTCAAATATCTTAATGTTAAATTTCTTAGGCTGACGATGGGCACACATGCTTATTTTGGTCCTCAAACTATGGACATCATATATTTTATTTAATTATTTTTACATTTTAAAAGGTATCTAGCAATAAGATGAAGATAAACATAAGGCCCAGGATCAGGGGTTCCTTCTGGAGTCTGAAAGGCTGTGGGCATCAGTGGACATGGGAGTCGCAGGAGTCTTGCAGCTTGATGCTGTCTTCCCACAAGGAGGCCTCTGAGGCTTATTCACCCAGAGGATGGCTTTGGACATAACCAGTAGCAGGGGCACCTTCAGGAAAAAGAGGAGTAGGAAGTTGGTATTGTGGGAGGGACAGAGTGACCAGCCCTGAGCTGCCTCCTCCATGGAGCCACAGGCACTGCACTTCCTCCCCTTTCCTTTGGGCTCTGGCTCTGTGCCCTTAAAACCCATCAGCAACCCCATTCCGAGCAACACAGGATTCTGACCTTCAACTCCAGAACTGTCCTCGAGTGTCAGGACACAGCAGTACAGGAGAGAGTGGTGATGAAGAGATGAGAGGAGAAGAGGTGGAGAAGAGATGTGAGGCTGTTATGATTCCTCAGGCATGAAAATTCAAAGCTGGGAACCACTTGGAGGAAAAAACTTTCCCTTTCAATTTCTCCCCACTCAAGGCAAACTGTCATCTAATCCTTAAATACGATCATGAGAACAGCTCTTCTGCTTAAACCATTCAACAACCTCAACCCAAAGGGGTAACTTCTCTAACCTCTGTTCTTGGTCAGTCTGCTCACCCCCAGGTCCTGGTACACGGTCCCTGTTTTAGTCACTTTCTCATAGTGTCACTGTGACATAATACCAAACACCCACATTAAAGAGGGAGAGGTTTAACTTGGCTAACATTTTCAGCCCATGATTGTCTGGATCTAAGGCCAAAACAGCATGGCAGAGAGGCAAAGTGAAGGAAAGCTGCTCACTTCATGGCAGCCAGGAAGCAGAGAACAAAGAGAGGAGTCAGGGAGGGGGATATACCCTTCTAGGTAATGCCCCCAATTACGCACCTCTTCTGACCAGGCCCCACCTACCTCATTCAGCTATGGATTCATCAGTGGATTCATGAATTGAGGATTATAGCACTCCTATGATCCACTTACCTTCCAGAAGCCCAACCCCTGAACACATGAGTCTTTGGCGGGACATTCCAGATCCAAACCATAACATTCTGCCTCTGGCCCCCCAAAAGACTCATGGTCATCTCTTTATGAAAAATACATTTAGTCTATCTCTAGGAGCCACCAAAGTTTTAACAGTTCTACCATTGCCAAAATATCCTAGTCCAAAGTCTCTTCTGAGATTCAAGGCAAACTCTTATCTGTGAGCCCCTGTGAAAAACTAAAAAGAAAGTTAAGCATGCTGACATATATTGGCACAGGACAAGCATTTGCATTCCAAAAGGAAGAAATAAAAGGATAGAAAGGAGTCAGACCAAAACAAAACCAAATCCCAGCACAGCAAACATTAAATTCTGTAGTACCATCTCCAGCACCAGAAGCAAGTTGTGGTAAGAAGTGAGCTCCAAATGGCTTAGGTGGCCTTGCCCATGTGGCATGGCCAGTTGGAGTCCTCATGGCCTTTCTCTTGGGTGACTCTGCCCACTACCTTCAGTCTTCCTTAGATGTTCCTTGTTTCTGGCCATTCTAACTTCCAGGGATCTCCACTGTACCTTCAAATCATTCTTACAAATTCACTGCCTGGCCTCCCAACCTTCTTCTGAAATTTGGTTGGAAGCCTCCATGTCACCATAACTTTTACA